ACGCAAGCTACATCATCCGAAAATGTCATCCGAATCGTTTGCCGCAAACTCGAAGCAATGGCTCCTGCAGCCATCGCTTCCGACGACCCTCAATATAACGCATCCACCGTCTCCTTCATCCAAGCCGTCATTCGCCAAAAAATAGCAAATCTCGGCATCGCACCTGTTTTCACTGTTCGCACTACCGAGAGTTCGACTTCGGTTAACCAGATCCCGGTGTACTCATCCCGCTACCCTTCCCGCGCAGCCCAATGCCAACTTCCTCTTCCTTGACGAGGGCCGCATTCTGGGGCACTACATATTGACTGAATATTTTGTTTTATTGTTCTTGTAACCTTATTTTATTGTGTTCTCTAATTTAATGCCATAAGTACAATCAAGTGATTTTCTATTGTCATACTTAATCATACCTAACTTTGCCAATACCTAACATTTGTGATATATTAGTGATACCTAACCATGTTTAACATTGTTAATGATGACTGACAGAAGGCATTCTGGAATACTGTAGCGTTTTTAACGTCACTGTGTCTTTTGTGCAAGTATTTTGGTATATAACTAGAATTCAGGGTATTGCTAAAATCACAATTTGATTGTTAAACACAGATTTGTGGTGAAACCCAGTAATTTCAACTACTCATAGTTCTAGCATACCTAAATTTAGGTGCACTGGATGAGAAAAACATAAATTGTTTGACTAGTGCTTTTTGGCTATAACAAATTTTCTATCTTTATATATTTGCTACTGGGCCAATGTGTTTGCTAAGCTAGCCTTCTAAATTTCGTTGCACTGATAGAAGTCTGGTCAAAGAGAACAGTTTGTGCCTTTTGTATGTGTGCAGGTTCCTGGATCAAGCATCTGGCCAGCCCCTCAATTGCTTTGTATAATTATAGTTACTATAAAGCATGCAAGTTTTGGGACAAAGTGTGCAGTCATTGTTATGTTTAATAAAGGTTACAATATGCAAGATTTGTTGAAAATTTGCATTTACTTTTTGATGTGCAGTATAATGCATTCCAGGCAACACCAGAAACAACAATGAGTTGACATTTAAAAGGCCGTCTTGTCTCCAAGCAAAACAGATCATCTTAATGATGGATGGCAGTCACTAATTAACTCTTTCAATAATTATAGCACCAATTTTCCTGGTTAAAATAGTGCCAGCTATGATTTGATGCCAAATTATGTAGCTGTTCCTACCTTCACTTTGACAGTGAACAGCTAAGTGCACCGATTGTAAAACGCTGACATAGTGCAGCAAATTAACCACGGAAAACGCTCAACAAGCTGGTTTGCATGAAAAATAAATGTCCAGAAAAGGTGTTAAAAGATCTAGAAACGTCTTTTAAGAATTTTGGCAAGAAGTTTACTAGGCTTCTTATGATATAAGTGTAGTAAACATTTACAAATGTTCTTTAAAAAATCTAGAAAGACATTTTTTAGACTTCTTGCTAAAAGTTTTCTAGTTGTATAATAACGTAGCATTAGCACACCTACACTGTGCTAACGCTTTCAAGCGGAGGTTTTCAAGCTGCAATTGGGTTTAAATAACATCTCAACAAGACTTCTTATATACTTTTGAACTATACTTTTTGGACATTTACTAGAAGTTTGTTAGCTTTTCTTGTGTTTCGTGGGTTCCGCCGCAAGCCGCGACATGTGCAGCTCATGTGTGATCCGCCTGTGCGTGATAGTGATTATGTCATTTCACCCATTACCGACGTGCTAAAGCATTCCATTGCTTTCCCGCACACCGTGGTGAGAGTACGCCACAACCAGACCTGTTTGTCTTTTTTAAACTTTGGTTTCCCCGCGCTTGTGCTGCCTGCTGGTATTAAACTAGGCGTCATGTTGTGGTTGCAAGGGTGTGATATCTCTGAGCTGTCAGCTGAGCAAGCCACTCCGCACGTCAACTTGCTCACTGCGCCCAACCCTTCAAGCATTGACATTGCCAAAGTGACAGCGCCAGATCTCTCGCCCTCCGAAGCACAAGACCTCCACCGTCTCTTGACATCCTATGCGGACATATTTGATCTAGATAACCGCCCGTTAGGCCAGATATCAGTTGTGACTCATCACATCAACACTGGCAATGCCAACCCAATACATCGCCGCCCTTACCGTTTATTCGCTGCCGAATGCTCTGTCACCAGAGAGAGGTCGAGAAAATGCTCGCCAAAGGCGTCGTCGAACACTCATCTAGTCCATGGGCATTCGTGGTCATGCTTGTCAAGAAGGACAACACATGGTGGTTTTGCGTTGACTAGAAACATCTCAACAATGTCACTAAGAAGGACGTTTACCCCTTACCAAGAATAGATGACGCCCTTGACTGCCTTCATGGTGCAAAGTTTTTCTCGTCCATGGACTTTCAATCTGGTAATTGGCAGATCTCTGTTGCCCCACGTGACCGAGAAAAAACAGCATTTGTAACCCCTGATGGGTTATATCAATTTAAGGTAACACCGTTTGGGCTTTGCAATGTGCACACCACCTTTGAGCGCATGATGGATTCCCTTCTGCGCGGCTTCAAATGGTCTACTTGCTTGTGCTACTTAAATGATATAATTGTTTTTTCACCGACGTTTGCGAGCCATCTTGAGCAACCGTCATGTATTCTCCGAGTATTCTGCAACGCTGGTCTTCAGCTGAATTCCTCCGCAAGCCGTTTCGGCTATCGCGCAATAATTGTATTTGGTCACTTTGTTAACGCATCTGGGGTACAGCCCGCTCCGGACGAAATTCCCACAGTGACTCTATTTCCCATACCCTCTTCTGCTAAGGATGTCCGGAATTTCCTTAATTTGTGCTCCTATTTCCGCCGCTTCATCCGGAATTTTGCCGATATTGCACGGCCTCTCCCCAAGCTTTTTAAAAAAGACGTCCCATTTACTTGGAATTTGCCTCAAAGTGCTGCATTTTCGGCACTCATTGCAGCTCTCATGACTATGCCAATACTAGCCCACTTCAATCAGACTACACCGACAGAAGTTCTGACTGATGCCAGTGGCCACGGAATCGGTGCTGTTTTAGCTCAGTGTCAGCATGGACGTGACTGCGTCATCGCCTACGCCAGCCGCCTTTTGTCCCCTGCCGAGAAGAACTATTCCATCACCGAAAGAGAGTGTCTTGCTCTTGTTTGGGCTGTCGCTGAATTTCGCCCGTACCTGTTCAGGCGCAATTTTACTGTTGTAACTGATCACCATGCGCTCTGCTGGCTTTCGTCACTCAAGGCTCCCATGGGACGTCTTGGTCGTTGGTCTCTCCGCCTTCAAGAATACACCTTCTCGGTCATGTTAAATCTGGTCGCCTCCATCAGGACACTGACTGCCTGTCACGGTATCCAGTGGATCTGCCAGACGCCACAGAGAGAGCTACTGAGGCTTGCATCTTATCAATATCGGACTTTCTTGATATCGCTTTTGAGCAATGCTGCGACCCTGATTTACTTCCCATCATAGAAAGCCTGAGTTCTGCTACTCCACCCACTTCTCTGAACTTGTATTTCCTTAATAAAGAGGTTCTCTACCGCCATAACATGCGCCCTAATGGTCCTGACCGCCTTCTCGTCGTGCCTTCACATTTACGTGTAGATGCTCTCCGACAGCTTCACTGTGAACCTGCCGCTGGTCACCTGAGAGTCACCCGCACTTATGATTGCGTCCGGCCCCATTTTTTCTGGCCACGCCTATACCGCTCTTTGCAAAAGTATGTCACCAGCTGCGACATTTGTCAACATCGAAAAGGACCAACATCTCTTCCAGCTGGCCTCTTTCACTCTATCGAGATCCCTGCTGAATCATTCTACCGCGTAGGGCTCGACCGTCTAGGGCCATTTCTCACTTCTGCATCCAGGAACAAATTGGCAACTGACTACGCGACACGTTATGCAATCACCCCCGCTTTCCCAGCCAGCTGCGCTACCGATTTCACCGACTTCCTACTGCATGACATCATTTTGCATCACAGTGCTCCTCGACAGCTCGTTACTGACCAAGGCCGATACTTTTTATCTAGCCTTGTCCAGGAAATTGTACGTTCCTGTTCCATCAACCACAAGTTCACAACGGCGTACCATCCACAAACTAATGGACTTACAGAGCACCTGAATCGCACTATCACCAACATGACATGTTGTCGATGTATGTTTCTCCAGACTACTGCGACTGGGACGCAACATTACTCTACGTCGCCTTCGCTTACAACTCCTTCAGACATGACACCGCAGGCTATTTCCCGTTCTACCTTCTTTATGGACGTGAACGTTCTCTGCCTCTTGATACACTTCTTCCCACTGGTTCAAGCTCTTCTGTCACATACGTTTGCGATGCCATAGAACAAGTTGACACAGCACGACAGATTGCCTGAGAACGACTTATACTTTAAGCCTCTCAGAAAGATCGGTACGATCGTCACCACCTTGAAGTTTCATATGCACCCGGTTTTCTAGTACTCTTGTGGACCCCATGTCGTCTCATTGGCCTTTGAGAGAACACTGAATGAGAGAACACTGTGAGCACAAGCAAAAGCAAATACAGTGCTCTGTTTATTTCTTCTCATTTTTATCTCATTCTTATGATGCTACATTTTCTTGAAGTCTCATTTTGTACCAAGGAACTCAATTCTGAGCCCCTGGTGTGCGTCATTTTCACTGAGACAAAACTTGCGCTTCGTTCACTCTTGTTCGTGAATTTGATATCATGACAAAAAAAAAAACAAAAAAACTTAGTGCTAGTGATAAACACTGTAATGGGGAAACCATGACAGAGTGCATCCCATCCTCATTGTGACAGGAACGAAGCAGCGCGCACCATTTAATTCTTTAACTGGGAGTGGCCGTCAAGAAAGCTAGTTCATGCTAAAGGCGAAATTTCCAATATGTCACTCACACTAATTTATGTCCATGGTGGCTGAATCTCAATATCACCTGTCAAAAGTTAGACAAATGTGCACTACTCAGGCATGTCTTGAGCCACGGTCAACAGTGAGTCGTTTGCAGGACTGCTACAAGCACGAGCAGAGGCAGAAGATGACCAAGGAGACCAACCGCGTTCTAGGAGGTACAAACGTGATGGTCGGTGTGAGGCAGCGATCGCTGAACGTGCAGACGAGCGCCAACGTCTATGGGCTCTCGTGGACAGTGAACATGCAGTCGTCTGGTGTCAAGCAGGAGCTGAGATTCAACTTCGAAAGGTTCGCCACATAACTTTGACATCTATACTTTGCTCGTAAGCAGCCAAAAAAATATTGTATAGATCCTACTTTCTTGTTTCTAAACTATTATGTCATTATCTGCTGTAATATCACTGCTTTCCAATCCTTAAAGCTAAAAGAAGTATTCCACAGAAAGCAAAATTAAACAACTTGATTGCTAGGTAAATTGGTGTAACGTCTTCCCAAGTTAGTGCCTCTGTTCAGCATTGGTCATGTATTCACGCTTTTTTTTGTATTCAAAGCTATTTAGCCTTGCAACTTGCTTGCGTTCAGTTATTCTCATGGGGAGTACATTCGTTTTTATCGAATGTCAATAAAGTGTAAATTTTTAAGAAATGAATCTTATTGTATTCTTGTGTGCAAAAGTAGTGAAGCCTCAGCATTACACTTTTGATTCTAGTTTTAGCATCTGCTAGAGAGTTGATTGCCTTTTCTGTGGAGACCGCTTTTCTTGCTCTGTAGTTGTTTTTCCAAGGCAGTGTCAAGTTCTCGAGCATTGTTGCTGTTTCAAGCGAACCACATGCAGTGACTTCTCACAGTGACATCAAGTGCACTATGCGGGCGTGCATGTTCCATGTGTTGTCTTCTTGGTGCAGCTTAGACATGTCTTCGATATCAACGTGCCGGACTTGTGAAGTGCCAATCTATAGCCATTGAGTGACAGAACTACAACTATGGGTTGTTACACAAGTTATGGTTATTGCTGTTGGTCCACCTTCAAACTATGCCAATGTGGCTGGTAATGATGAGAACGTGAGGGCTGCATGCAACACGCAGCTCTGTTACAGCGAAGGCTCGAAGAACAGCCTTCCTAACAATCACTTGGAGACTCTCTTCGGGTCAACCACTGCAAGGGCAGTTAATTGCTAGTTACCTGCTATGCCATAGATCATTGTAATTTTTCAAGTAAGGTAATAGTACTAACTTTGTTGTGCGTCATTTTGCAGGGAAGCAAGTTATCCACTATGTGAGGCACATTGTTGATGGCGAGGAAGGATTATGGCTGAGACCTTCGTAATGGGAGGGTGGGGGGGTGCTAAATTATTTACATTTTGCACCTGGTTACTAACTCAAAACCCAATATTATAACAAACCTGGATATAACGAATTATCAGTTATAATGAAGTAAATTTAGAATATTCCTAATTGTAGTGTTAAAACTATAGTGTTAAAAATACACCTTTATAACAACTTTTTTGTTATAACAAAGTTATTTTTGTGTAAAATGCAACTTTGTTATTATAAGAGATTTGAATTATTTTACTTTTCTGCCAGGCTATATTTCATTCTTTAAAAAAAATACTGATGGAATTATGAGGTGCCCCAAAAGGAGCATCTTTCCTTTCCATAATCTGCACTATCAACGTTCTTCTTACATAAGAGCCAAACAACACATGTAAAATATTTTACTTTACTTTTGAAGTTTTCATTGCACTGCATCGGTAAGCCAGTGCAATTGAAAATACCACAGCGAGTCAACACAGTTCACTGGGCTTGTTAAATTGGCATTCTGCATACAGTCTGAATGGTGAAAACCATCATCATAGTCTCTAATTCTGGACATAAATTCACTCACTGTTGTATGCATAGCAACTGACAGTAAACAGAGAACTGCTGCTAGTATGTCGCGAGTTTTTCGTGATGTCAGACTTGCGGTGATGCATCACTGCAAAGTCATTCTCTCGATACCGAAACCTAGGAGTGTTAGAAATATATTCAATGCATTCTAAAGCACTACAGAATGCTGTTTAAGGTCCTCCAGAACCGTGTTTTTATTTAGAGCAACAGCCCAAAGATAGAGAAAATTTGTGTCAGTATTCTTTTAAAGAGTCTACGTACACAAAAAATACATGCATAATTTTTTTGGTCTGTTGCCTTATGCAATAAAATTGTTACTGGTTACATAAGCTTTTGTACTGATTTCAAATATGTGATCAGTGTTACGTCAAGTTGCATCGTTTTTTTTACTATGACAATATGTAAAGTGAAACTTTTCTAGCAGAGACTTTTTCTGCCACTAAACCTTTATAATTATGAGTGATTAATGGCTCATATTGCTTGACGTTAATTGTAGAATGCAAATAACTATCAGGAAAGTGTGTATAAAACATTTTGATGGCCAATAATAATTGTAGCGTGAGAATTGTTGGAATTCTCAGCCTATACTAATAGCTTAATTTGGGTTCGTAATAAGTATACAGTCAATATCAAGTTTCAAAGAAGCTACTTGCTCACTTCACATGTTAAGGCATATGTGGGAACAATTTCATCGTGATTGGGCTATCAGAAATACCCAAGTCATCATGTCCGAACTGAGAAAGTTGCCCAAGAAATGGATCTCGAGAAAAATACATTTTAAAGGGACACTAAAGTCAAGCAACAATTTATGTCAAAGTCAAAGCGCAATGTATGACAACATCTAAAACAACAATATTATCAACATCAGTGCCCTACTTATTGAGAAATTGAAGTAAATGCACAAGAACACAAGCGCCGCAGTAGGACATCTTCAAAATTTTCCCGATGACATCAGACGGACCACCTACAATAATCACTAGTAATGGATCTAACTGCACTAAATAAAGAACATTTCATGCATTAAGAGATGATATAAAATACTGCTTGTTAGTTTCTGCTTGATTCATGAAAAAAGGAATCGCCGGACGTTACTATGAGGAACGGCGCGAACGGTTCAAAAATTCAATTTTCGCATGATTACACGGGACAGATGGTGCCATCTAGCGGGGCGCAGTTGAAACGAAAGCGTCTGCAATCTCGAAGCCAACGGCGGGAAATTGATCAATGGCCGTTGTTGCTGTTGTGGCTCCCGCTGCTTTCAGTCTGCTGCTACTAGGGTAGTAAAGCCGGGCAACGTTGTGCATGGCAACAGTGACGTGAGGCGGTTTGGTCGGTCCGCTTCTTGAGGCGGATAATTTGAAGTGCCCTAACCTGATGCAGAGCACTAATACGTGGTTTTATTTCAAAATAGGCTCTTGCTTGCCACAAAAGTAACACTACGAGGTTTCTGGACCGTCATTTCAACAGTCAATGTCGAATTAATAGTTGACTTCAGTGTCCCTTTAAAGATATAAGTGAAAGCTCATCTATAGGGAAAAGGTATGTTTTTAAAGCTAATTTCTACCAACATGAAAGTTTCGAAATTAAGGTTATTTCAGCATGTGGCTTTAGTGGACTCCTCATTCAAAATGCAATAACAAGCAGCCACGTGACAATTACCAGGGTACTCTAGACAATCAGCTCTCTTTAGTTTTTAATGGCCACCTTGTGCTTTTTAAAGGGAGTTTTAGCCTATTTTGAGTTTAACTACAATCTTTATTATTTTTATCATGAAAGTAGAAAAACTAAACGAGTGAAAACAAGTAAAAAAAGAATCTGTGATGAAAAAAAAAAAACTTGCATTTTTCGAGTAGCATTTCCCAATGTGATTCCTTGCCTGAAATGACCCCTGTGTTGGGTGTTTTTGCAAAGTAATTTCGGATCCTAGAAATTTGCAAAAGAATCAAAGCTGTGTGTGATATAATGCGCATACATTTTTTTCCTCATTATGTGCGCTAGCTTTTATGAAGAGCAGCAACGGTGACGGTAAACAACTAGGCTACCAAAAGCGGCTGCTGTTGTGATCTCATAACAGCTTTCACTGTAAAAGGAGCATAAGGTGAGCTGTGCGGCATGAGACTGCCTTTAATGGACTAGGGTGTGTGTTGTGGCCACATGCTAGCTCATGGTTCATGCAACATCACTCAGGGTGCGTTCAAGTTCTTGAAAACCTTGAAAACCCTTGAATTCGAGAAATGAATTTTCAAGGTCCTTGAAAATCCTGAATTTTTTTCTCATCCTTGAAAATTCTTGAATTTCCTGAGCACTGCCAATCAACATTGTGCCCTCCTTTATGGGGTAGATCAGCATACTTGCCAAGTCTCTCGAATTATGACCAGTTCTTACAACTGCACAGTTGTCAGGAAAATCTCCCGGAAATTGAAATTACTGTGCGTGATCTGGCCACCTTGACAAAAATGCAGGCCAATGCAATTCAGGCTTTTTGCGAACCCATTGCCTTTTTTTGTGAACGAATTTAGGCGGCGTTCATGTAAACGTACAGTAGAATTTCAATGATGCGAAACCAGCAGATATATGAAGTCGCGAAATTCCCCAGCCAAGTTGCTTGGGCCAAAATTCAGATGCTCCGAGCTTTTTTCTTCATTGTGGCGGGTCGTATCAACTTTAGTGCCGAAACCGTGTAACCAAGGCCGAGAGCAGTGTTCCAAAGAATAAGCAACGTTGTTCCTGTCGATTAGGGTACTTTGGCTATACTGAAACATTTATTTGGTTACTTTGGCTATACTTGGACGTTTAGTTTTCAGTCAGCCTTTAGCAAAGCTTCAACCTGCACTTTCCCGGCAACTGGCTGTGTCGTCCCATCCGTTCACGTGTGTCCCAAAAAGACATACATGAGTTGTTTTGAGAGAAATAGATTGTGCTAGTTGTTGTGATGTTGAAAATTTTGAGAGATACAAGTAGTATTTTCGCTCCCCTTTCAGACTTGCCTTCTTTACTGTAGTAGAGAAGTCCTAGTACCCTCGGGTGTTGAGCCACTTCAAATTGGTACGAAGCCGCAGAACGCCAATGTTTACTGTACCCTCCTCCCCCCCTGTTTATTTCGCGATGTTCTATTTTTGGTGCAAAAAAAAGAGGGCAAAATAAATCAGCACGATCCCTGCTCTTCTCGTTGCGAAAGTCTCCCAGATTCAGAATCTTCGAACTTGGCAGGTACGTACGTATTAATTGGTGTCGACCTGACCAACTCTCTATTTCTGAAACAGTATTTTGGCGTGAGTTGATATGGTTTGGTTTTGCAAAACTGCATGGGGAATAAAGCTTTACTGCATCAAAATGCAGTAAAGCTCTTAATGCTCTTCAGTGCTGGCTCTTTTTCTATTGTGCATGCAGTGAAGCTAATGAAGCTGACGTGAGCTAAAGTGCAGACTAGACATGTTTGTTATAATTTCAGTATGCATGTACTATATAAGTGCAATAAAAATGAGTCAATATTGCGTGCCCCTTTCAGTCCTTAAAAATCCTATGACAGATCCTGCAAGGTCCTTGAAATTCCTTGAGTTTTCGCTTTGAAAGCTTAAATGAACCCTGTCACTTGTCCTTGAGTGAGGTTATGTATATATTGCAACTTCTCTAAGTTTCAGACTGGCATAGAGGTGATGGGCGCGTAATCAGGAGTGGCAGAATTTGACTCGAAGTTACCTGTTCCATTCCAGTCTGAGCAGGCCAGAGTGGCCGTAACTTGATTCTCGGGATATGGCTAATGTTCGTCATGGTAAAGTGCTAGGAAGAATGGAGCCGTTGACAAAAGCTTGATTTGGGTGATTTGGTTCTTGCTGAATACTATCCTGATTACGAAAAGCACAGGACAAGGCTGAAAATTCTTTAGCATTTTACCATTATGAAGGTATACCAACATGCCCAACTGGTAGTTATTCTAAATGTGGTTCATCATGGAATATAATATAGTTGGGTTAGGTACGGACAGAGAAGGGACACAGCGCTATTTATATCTAATCCATCGCAATGTAACATATTCTATAATGAACATCCACCAACTTGCCCAACTCTCGATTCCGCTCAATGTTAACCACATTGAGCTTTATCAGACAAGAAATTTCATGTGCATGTTACTGCCTACTTAAATCACCCTTCTCATAAATTTAAGGAAGTCATCAGTGGACATAAAGCTGTCTTGGTTTTTTCTGGTTGTTGCAAACATTGAAAACTGCACTATGTGTTCAGAAGCGTTAGCTTTGATGTGTGACTGTGTCGCACAACCTTGTTCAATGGCATTCCCCACAATGGCATCCACAATATACGCAGACAGCTGCGTATATTGCGCATTTTTGATAGACTTCGATTTTCTTGCGCCAATCTGCTCCAAAAGCATAAAAACCACGAAATTGCACCGAAATTGTCCAAAACAACCTTGAAAGCTAAAATTTTGATGCCAACCTCAGCTTCAGTAGGAAAAGAGGCCGAGTTCACTAATAAGATGTGCCCAATCGCGTTTTTTTTATTTGTACTTTTTGGTGACAAAGGTTTATGGTGCCATCATAATCTCCTCTAAACTGTTGTAAATATGCGTGACCCCGCAAGAAAGTGCTGCCGCGCATCGAGCCTACTGCTTCGACTAGCTAGGCTGTGTGTTCTGGTGCCACTGTCGCTTTGTTAAAACCACAGAATTCAGTGGCGAGCGTAGCAAGGTTGGCTCTCAGGCTCTTTGTTGTGCGTAGCATGTTCCTGTTCCTCTGGTCGCTGCGGCTTTTAGGTCGATGCTGCTGCATGCGGTCACCTACGTGTGTGTGTTTCCGTGAGTGACTAACTGTAAACGTGCAGTCGTTTCCCTGCATGCGACGGGTCTTCTGGATGCTCTGGTGCGTGCACATGCGTTTTAAAAATGGGTTTCTTGAGCGACAGAATGCATGCAGCCCATTCCCGGCTTAAACCCATTAGCTTAACTTATTTAGACAAGTGAGTTTTTATTGCATTTTGCATTTAAAATAGCCATCGCACTCGAGATCCGTGAATCGCTGTCGCTGGTAGAGAGAAACACTTGGTTATTTACGAAGCTGTGGTGACATAACCCGCGTTCAAATCATTTAACATGATATGAACAAGCACCTCGGTGCTTTATTTGTGACTCATTTCCCATCGGCGATCATGTGGCACAGTTTTCGTTATTTGCCACTGCTCCCTTTTGTAATCTAACCACGGCCGGCCATGTCTAAACCATGGCCGCTGGATAAAAGCCGTCGTGTCTAAACCCTCAACGTGCACTTTAAGAGGCGTGGCTGCATGCGTGCTGGTTCTGGGTTATGCTTTTAGGCTTAGCTCAATTGGTGTTTCGGTCGGAGGCTGACTTCGTTCTCTTTCTGTGCTTCTTATGTAATAAAACTGGCCTCTGTGCGTTCGGCAGTTCATTTGTGGGAACACGAATTTCTTATTTGGGCTGCTTTGCGCAAGTTGCAGAGCGGCAATCGCAAGTCGATGTATTGGGAGTTGCACATCGATGGTGATGACCTGCGATAAAAAAAAAAAAAAGAACTGGTCAATGTGTGCTGTATCAATAACGCGTGGTTGCTCACATGGAGAAACATTATTAGTATCGATTGTTTATCACTTAGTGCTATACGCATGGGCTTTACGAGATATTTAGTGCGGCGAGGTTTCTTGGCTCCCAGCTAGAATCCTGAATGTGGTCTCGCTCGAGGTGGCTACAAACGGCAGTGCAGCATGCTTTTGTTGTGTTAAAAGCTTTTGACGCTATCATGTCAGGCTTTTCTTTATGTTACGTAACTAAGGTTCTTGTACAATCACATTTTCTGAACTTTTTTTTTCTCTAGTGTGATGCCTTTTTTTTTAATGTTTCCGAAAAAGCTAGTTTTCAACAAAACCTTTCTTTATTAAATATATTTCGCATGTTTGTTATGAGGGCTAACTAGGTCATGTGGTATGGGAAAAGGCACTGTAGTTCATACCTATCGATAATCTCTTTAAAAAAAATTCTTTTAAATCTGTTTCGGTGGTATGTGTATAACAAACCAATTAAAATAAGGACTGGTGCCCCCACGTGGCTAAAAATTTTCATGTTGAAGCTCCCGGAACGACATATTAAATGCCACTAACTGCTCCCAAGCAAGATTATTCTTGAAATTGATTTCTCCTCCAAGAACTGCTCCCAATTTAGTCTTAGCTGTCTCAACCCTGAATATACTCTAGTTTCATGCTTAAAGTATTCAAACCCATTCGGAGGTGTTGCTGCTACATTTTTCAACCACAAGTTGGACCTCCAGATGCTAGCTGACTCGTTTGTCATCTTTCAGAGGACCTGATGGCGATGTGGGCTGGATCAGAGAGCTGCTGGCAGATGAGTTCTTCACGGAAAATGGTTCCGGTGCCTGGGCTTATTTGCTGCTCCACTGGAAGACACCCGCCACTGTCGGCAAACACAAGGCAAGTGCTGGTGGTAATGTGTTGCACGTGCCAGGACTGTTGCAGTACAGTCAGTGCTTGCAGTCTTGTACAGGGAAAATGGTCAAATGACGATTGTGAAATACCAGAAGTTCTACACAGCTGCAAAAACATGAACCAACCACTGCACAACAGTGTGGATTGGTAGTATGCATTGTAGAAATGTTTTGCAATGATTATCTTGTAGTTGCCAAAGAGCTGTTGTAGGTACTGAAGGAGGTATCGTGAATGCCAGTTGTAGTTGAAACACTGAACAGCATTTAAGGTAACTTGAAGAGAGTTTAGCATGTCGGGATGACTACCCTGAAATGTGATGGTGTAGTTTGACTATACGGTAAATGGTGATGACGCAATGACTGAAGTCGCTAACTAAAAACATCTGGAGGTATTGCCAAGAGTACTTTCAGGTACTTAGCGTGTTGGGCAGCATTGTCAGTCAGAAGTCATCAGCCAGACTACACCCAATGCAGGGCAAAGGCCTCTGCTATGTTCCTTCATTCAACCCGGTCTAGTGCTTCCTGCCGCCACGTTATAAGGGCAGTCCACTTATAACAATATCCAACTGCCAAAAAAATACCATTGTGATAGGCAGTAATTGTGATAAGTGGGTTGAGGAAAAAAAGGGCCGAAAGGAAATCAAAACATTTCACTTGCACACAACTAAGGTAATGCAATTATGTACTACTTGTTTCATAAAATCCAATCTTTCAACTCTGATAGCTTCACGCAGAGCTGGCGCACATCTTTTTCAGGAGCATCTAGGTGACCGAGGTAGCTGAGTGGGAGGTCCTTTGCAAAAACTAAGTCCCCAAGGAACTGTACTATCTATTGGGTTTACTGCAATGACAGTATGTAGAAGATTGCTCAATTTGGAAATTCACTGTCAATGGTATTGTGGCACTCCATTGTTTTATAACACCGATGTTTTCTATAGCGCTTGTAACTGAACTACGTGTGAAATAATTGAAGCTTAATAAATTGACAAAGTGAAAGAAAAATGTGTGAGTGTGTGTCACGATTTATTTTTTGCAACGAATTGGATTGAGAGAAATGGGAGACAGGCATGGCAAAATAAACACTTTATAAACAAAGAACAAACGAAGCAAGTACACAAAATTTGTATTAAAGCACTCAAAATTCACTAACACTATATGTACACACCTGTCTACAACGGATTGAAAACCAAAACTAACTCTGCATTAGAGCCAACTCTAGCCCTAGCCAGTAGCTATCTGAAATGGCGTTTGAGTGCGGAAGCGTTCTTACAGTTTGTCCCGTTGCCACGTCGACGATTCGTCGATGCTGTCATCAACATATTCCCCAAGTTCCTACAGTCATCATCCTCTTTCGCCGAACGAGCCGCTCGATCTCATTGCTGTTTTTTTTTCGGTCTTCCTCGTCTTCTTTGGATCAGTTAGGCTTAGCTCAACTCGTCAACGGTATCTTGACTGGGGTGCAGACCGCATTCATTCTGGCTAGAAGCAGAAGAGCTGTAGGCCCACCAGGAACTGCGGTGATAGGTTGCGGCAAGTCCGGGCAGCCTCACTCAAGTCTTTCGAAATTGACAGCCATTCCTCGAGCCTTTTCACCAACAGCCTCAGAACTAGGCGGCTCTACTGCCTCCGTCACAGCAGTGACGCTGACCTTCCTAATCTTCGCAGTTCGAAGCCCAATGCACAGTGACAGCTCATCCTCTGGGATTTCCCATTACCGCTCAGGTCGCTTGCCACGAGCTTTCTTGCCCCATCTGGTACACAAATGTGGTGCATATGCGCACCATCGGGGGTCTCGCACACAGGCGCTGCAATCCAGTGCTTGGCGTGCCCTCTTAATCATGACAGTGTGAATTTCTTAAGTCTTGTCAGCTAAAGAAAATCTGAATCTCAATTCATCACTTTGGTATTGGTGAGTGCAGACTGTCGTAATCAATTATGGCATGTGCATGAGTTGCGCTATATCTTTACATAATGTTCTCTAGGTTTTTATCAATCTACTGTTTTTGCACAAATAGCTTGTGTGATCACAAATAAAACATGACTTTCAAGTTAGCTCTGTGTGTGTATCTCCCTCTTTTGTGTCCTTGTTTTGGTGCACTATAGTCATATGTATGATGAGCTACATCTGCTCTGAATGATCCTTCTGACTGCTCCAAACTTGCTCAAAAAAGCCTTTTTGGCTGCTCCAAGCCAGCTTGAAAAAATTTCTCTGGATGCTCCAGACCAGCTACAAAAGGCACTTTTGCATGCATACTACCAGGAGTGCTTCCACATCTGTGTACCCTGTTCCTAGACAAACTAGTATTGCCTGTTTGAATTTTCATCAGGTGACACGCGAGACTGCATTTAAATAAAAAAATAAAATAGAGGAGGAAGGTTATGGGAAGGCACAGACGTATGAAAGCAAAAACAAGTAGAGCACTACAGAAGGATGAAGTGTGTGTCGAGGAGAATCGTCATAAAAATGGAGTGCAGTGTAGTTCATGCAGACCTGTTCCTGCTGCATCTTTTTGCCTTCTGTAAGTGCTTTGTACCATCTAGGCAGTGCAAAGTGTTCCTACTCCACAAGAAATCAGTGACAACTGCAAAATGCAATATGCATATTGCCAAGATATACATATTTCGATGTTCTCAGTTTAAACACACAAAGACTGTCAGCATTGCTCAGCGCAGTAGATAATTTTGTGCACAAGACGCAAACATTGGAGGTTGTTCCAGAGATTGCGTGATCACCATTGATAAGACTGGAAAGCTTGACGCTGATTTTAAAAAGGCGGCACGTCCAAATGATACTCAGTTGATCGACAGCCAACCCTCTGTTTGCCGCTTGCCAGTGTGCACTGCTGTATTCTGACTATTAGTTTACCGGCCACAAGTTCAGCCAAATAAACAGTTTTATTTTAGACAAGCCATCTCTGCCTTCATCAGCATCACAATCTAGTGACAATATACAATAAAACTTCTTTAGAAAAAAAAGCACTGAAATAGCAAGTCATTGGTCATGGTGACCTAGTTGTACGAACTCTCGTGGGTCAAGCTCGATTTCAGTGGCGTTTATTTTTTTTATAAAAACAAAAACAAAATGTGAGAGCCATCACAGTATGAAATATTTGGTTCACACAAGGCTCAAAACTACAAAGGTAGCATAAAAAGCTGAATACGGTAAATATTGCAAGTGTAGTGGAGCATACGCACCAACGCGTATGCGCCTTTGGAAGACAACGAAAAGCCCGTGCTCTGCTTGCGCGAGAGTTTATGCCGCCTTTGCCAGACTTGCCGTACGCCCACTTTCCGTTGCGACCTCGTTGCGACTTCTCTGCTCGAATAAACGTCATCACATTTGGTGGAGGCTGCTGAGATCCCCAAGCAGACCTGGAGCTCCGCTCTCGCAAGTTGCCTGAAAGACTACCGCGAAACATGACTGACGCAGTCGCCAACCAGTCCGTCCCATCCCAGCCAGCACCATCGGCTGCCCCGTCTACCTGCCCCGGCGCTACTCGCCAGCGGGATCCACCAATCTTCAGCGGAAGTGGTGAGCAAGACGTCGAAGACTGGCTCTCCTTGTACGCACGCGTAAGCGCCAGCAACAAGTGGGACGACGACTCTAAACTCGCCTACGTTATCTTTTACTTGGCAAACGTAGGTAAGCTTTGGTTTACCAACCGCGAAACCGCCATCGCCAACTGGTCCTCCTTTAAGACCCTCGTAACAGAAGCGTTCGGCCGACCAGAGGTCCGCAAGCTCCACGCTGACCAGGGTCTGCGCCACAGCGCCCAGCAGCCTGGCGAAACGTTTACGAGTTACATTGAGGATGTGCTCGACCTCTGCAGGCGTGTTAACCCATCTATGCCCGAAGAAGAGAAAATTCGGCAGATTCTCAAGGGCATTGAGGATGGCGCATTCCAGATGTTGCTAGCGAAAAGTCCGACCTCGGTGGCAATCCTCGTAAGCCTGTGCCAGAGCTTCAATGAATTACGCCGTCAGCGTTCCATCACCCGACAGAGTGTCTCACCACCAGATTCGATCTCGGCTGTCGCACTCGCAAATGCCAACGTTCGCCAAGAAAGTCTGTCCAACCAGATCAAAGACTTCATCAGGGAGGAAGTCGCCCGACAGCTCTCCCTGCTGCCGCATAGCGACGCGCCCACCGCAAGTCTGCCTTCGACACTGCAGCAGGCCATACGCACTGAATTTTGCGATGTCCTACCTACAGTGCCCACCCCTTACGCATGCACTTCAGCAGCATCTAATCTCTCAGCTGTCAGCTACGCACCACCTGCACCATATTCACCTCTCAGCTATGCAGCTGTGGTTGCGCGGCCCCCACCGCATCCAGTATCCTTATCGGCTCCACCTCCTCCGGCAGCGGCTCCGTTTTACAGGCCCTCACCTAGCTTTTTCCGTCCATCTAATGAGTGGCGCACCCATGACAACCGTCCTATCTGCTTCGCGTGTGGCATCGCTGGCCACATTGCACGCTACTGCCGCCGCCGTCCCACACCTGCGTACGCCTCCTTTGGAACTCCTACCTATGCGTCGCAGCAGGCCACCACATCTGCATACGAACAGAGGCACTCTGACTCGGATCGTCGCCCATCAACTTCTCGTTTCCCATCTCCTCGTCGCCGATCGCCATCTCCTATGCTTCGTAGACCACCTCCTGAGGAGGGAAACTAATCAGTGCAGTTCCAGAGTCAAGAACTGCAACTTCTGCGCAATTATCAAGGCCTCCATGTTCACCGCAAAGTGTTGTTGATGTCAATGTTGAGGGAGTCGCCACACAAGCGTTAATTGATACTGGGGCCGCCGTTTCTGTGATGAACGCAAAATTTTGTCGCAAACTGAAGAAAGTGACCACATCTCTCTGTGGCATCGTGCTGTCCACAGCTAGCGCGTTACGCATTCAGCCCTCGGCTGTGTGTACGGCGCGCGTCGTCATCCAAGACGTTTTGTACATCGTCCAATTTTTTGTACTACCATCTTGCT